GTCGCTCTGCGTTCCCCCTCCCCTCCCAGATCCCAGTGCTTCAGCCCCTCAGCATTTTCTTAACAACTTCTTAATAACTGTCCCAGAGTAATGGTTACCTTCTTACAGCTAAGTAGTTTACACGGAGAAGCTGATTGCGCCAGTGAGGACACACGACATGCTTTCATTGCCTGCTGTATGGAAGAAAAAAAGATGTTTCAGCAGAGATTAATTAGTACTGAGGTTTAATCAGTGGCTGCTCTATTGCTTTTTTGCTGGTGGAGACCTCAAAGAAAGGGGGCAGATGTCCCCCGCTGTCCCCATGGCAAGAGCCGCCCCGCCGCTGGCAGCAGCTCCCTGCCCAGGGGATGCTCCGCTCCTGGGTCTGTTCCAGATGCCATCGTCACGGGACGGATGTCACCGTGCCTTATCCCCGTGCCAGGAGCAGGCGGCTGCCCCGGCCGCATGGCAGCGATGGGCACAGCAGGGTATCCCTGTCCCCATCCCATTGGAGCATCCCCATCCGCAGGTGGGAAGAGCAGAGGTGACTCTGCTCCTGGTGCGCCCAGGGTCGGGGCTGAGCACGGAGGTCGCTGTGTTTGCAGTGCCTGTCCCCATCACAAGAAGTGACAATCAACTGCCAAGTGCAGGCGTGACTTCTCCCAGCAGAGAGGCTGCCTGCTTTATTTAGAAACGCCTTCTCATTTCCTCCCCTGTCGCGTCTCCAGCACACACACATCTTTCCAGGATTAACTCACCTACTCGGGGTCTTCAAAGGTTTAAACCTTTGTGTTCCCCTGGATTTCAGGCTGACAAGGATCAGGTCGCTGCCCTTTGATGGCCTTCCTGCTATTGCGTTGCAAGCCAAGGTCACAGACCCTTCCCCTCCCCTGTACAATCTACGGGATAACTCCAAGAACCAGCCGCTCCAGGAAATCCTGGCCGTTTCTGGTCCCCTTCAGGGATCTCTGGAGCATCCTGTGAAACCCCGGGTGAGGGGAGAGCTTCCAGGTGTGGCTTTGGAGCCAGTTCTCCCGTCACCTGGAAAGAAGAGCTGAAATGATCCCTCTCACCATGGCGAAGGGAAGGGAACCGCTCGCATCCTATTCAAATCAGCTGTCAATGCTGAGAGAGGATCCTCTTAACTTCCACCGGCTTGTCTGAGGCTGGCTGCTACTGGGGGACGTTTCATCTCCCTCCCGTCTAATCCACGGAGATGTGTGATACAGCATAAGCTAATATAATAGGTCATGCAAGGATTTACATCTCTTACTGCAGGTTAGAGTCCTGGGAGGAAGGATGAGTCACTCTTACTTGAATATATTTCAGGGATAAGGAACAGTTCAGCTGCCCAAAGAAAAGCAAATGGGAAATCGACCACCTTGAAGCATCGCCCTGGGCTTGATCACCAGCCCTCTGCACCCCCCGAGTCCCCTCTCTCTTCCACCTCCAGATGGGACACGGGCCTCCCCGGAAAGAGCATGGCCCAAAGAGCCAAAGGGATGGGAGAGCTGCCAGCAGCTGTGAGACCTCGCTGGAGGTCCTTTCCTTTGCCTTTTGCTCCATCCCTGCAAAGCCAGTTCCCCAACCACCCCGGGGGCTGCGAGAGGCCGCAGAGAACAACCTCACGGTCCCCCTCCGCGGGGCACGTCCATCTCCTGGTGAGTGAGCATCCCTGCCACGAGCGACCGAGTCCCAGCCGCTGCCGGTAATCGCGTGCTAATTTTCACATAGCTGCTTTGGCCGAGCATTTCTGCTCATCAAGAAGTGTTTTCTCTCAGTTTCTCAGACAGGGAGGCTACATGGTAGCTGACCCATCTAACCCAGCTGGAAAAAATCGGTCCTGACTTTCAAGTCTCTTACTGTTAGTGAATGCTTAGATAGAAACCCGGACTGAGCAAAGCTCCTAGGACCAGCCACATCAGAAATCTGCTCTGAACCGACCCAAAGCCCGAACCTGCCCGGCATCCGAGGGGAGAGCGGCTCTGGGACACGAGCAGGGATGCTCTTCCTCCTCTCTGCCCCTCTTTTCATCCAGTCCTTCTCTGACTGACGGCCAAAACTTGAACACGCTGTTGGCGATGGGAGGTCTGCAGAGTGCCTGGGGCTCTCAGCCTGTTTCTGAGCAGGCTGTGAAAGCTCATTGGGGGTTAAAATTCATTTTCCACGGGCTGTCCGTGGGAAAATGCTTAGGGGGGTCTGCAGATTGGTGTGAAAAGTGAAAATCGTCGCTGCAAACAGTCGGTAGGAGCCATGAGCAGCCAGCTCAGCGCTGACTCTGGGCAGGCAGCAGCCGCAGGGGCATCCGAGTGGTGGTGAGATGCTGCGGGTGATGCCGAGTTGTGCCGAACGGTGCCTCGGATGGGTGCCCCTCAGCCTCACGGCTGGGTGCAAAGGCAATTTGCATGCCCAGGTGAACGCAGGGGAACCGCCGGCATCGTTCAGGGGGCTCTGCTCCGCCGGGATTTAGCCGTAGGCCCAGAGAGCCTTCACTGGGACAAATCCCCTTGTGTCACTTCCAAAAGTGGGCTCTGGTCCGTAACAGCAGTGGTCACTGCCTAACTGCTGACCCGATTATTATCCAAGAAAAAGATATGATTTTTTTTGTTCTTCCTTTTAAGACAAATTTTTGCCTGGCGCTACCTTGGGCAAGGGGGGAAGGGAGAAGATAGGCCGATCCCCCCTCCCTCTTTCAGTTTACCCTATCGCTTCGCAGCTGTTCCATCATTTTAATCTGCGGAGATTGTCTTTAAATTTCGGAAATGAAATGATTTCCCGCAAGCCGGGATTGGAGTTTGGATCCGCGCTCATTTTTCCTGAGCGGAGAAGAAAAAAGGGAGAAATGTACGTTAAAGCCAGGCTGGCCATCTGGAAGGGAGGTGCGTTTCCGATGCCATTAATTGCTCGCTCCCCAGGGCCCGCGATACGGCTGCAG